AGTAAATGAAAAAATAAAATAGAGAAAACTTTCAACACGTGAAAGTGGGGAAAAGCGGTAATCAAAGAGCCGGGATCGAAAAATAAAAGACTCAAGAAACGAGAAATTGGAATGAATTCAAAGAAAATAATGTCAAGATGGGGTGACGGAAACGAAAAAAGACTAAATATTTCAGTCTTACGTAGCAAAATTTTCTCTTTCAGTGTTTCTTGTAATTATGCAAACTGTTTAGGTAGTTTACAAAACTAGGAGGCTCCACCCCATGCTCGCTCCGCTCACCAACTCTCATGGTTGCATCTTTTCTCAAAAATGATAAATAGTCATGATTTAAAGCAAAAAGTAAGAAAAAATTCGTAAAAAAGCACTTAAAATTACAATTATTGGCAAACTAATAAAAATTTCCAAAAAAAAGAAACTCGTAATCATTAACCACCGTTACAATCTTGCTGCCGACAGAGCGGCCCGAATGGTATTTTTTACTATAAGTTCAAAAGTTAATGATTCTCAAACTAATTATCGAATGTTAGCTTTTTTCATTCCATCGTACATTTTGCTACTGACCTTCTTATTTTTAAATTTCTAAATCTTACAATTTATGCACAACAAAAAAAAATTTAACGTTATGTTGAACATTCAAAACAGACGTGACGGATTTTTTTTTCTTCCTCATAGATAGATAGAGATAATGGGGTATCATAATCACTAACATCAATTTTTGGATATTTTATGAAAAACGAAGTTAAAAAAAAAAACTACCCTTACTTAAATGATCCAAAATTAATATATAAGAGTTTAAAAAAATGCCCTCAATATCTGTCAAATCATTATCTGGATTAATTACTGTAGAAGTAGAATTGAAAGCATCAACACCAGTTAGATTAAAGGTTGACACCCAAAGGTGGTTATTCGAAAAACCTTTCTTTTTTTTCTTCTATTTTCCCTTAAAAATCAAACTTATGGAGCTTGTATTAGATCAATAAGTTACACAAATAGAAAATCAAACCTACTAGTTTAATTCAAGTGTTTTTTTTTTAGTATAACACTTTCATAAAGTCGTTAGCAACTTAAATCCTATATAGGGTGCTATAAAACTGATAATCACAGCTGTAAGCGTGATATAAATTACCAAAATAATCAACTTTCACCATACAATATGCATACATGCCACCTTGAACGTTTGTTGGGAAATGTTCCTAATCTACTACAAGAAAAAAGGAAAAACACCACTTGCATCTATTTTAGAGGGCTTGTAATAAAAAAATAAAAATAACCGTGGCACTTAGAGCCTGATGATTCGAGTAATACTAATTGTGACAGTTTGAAGTCCAGGGTTAGGTGTCGATTTCAGCGATTTTTTTTTTTAAATTTTCTTTTTTTTATCGTGTCCATGGACAATTAAATGGCCTCGTATGCCTTCAAAACAGCATCCGCAAGCTCCAATACATCATTACTGTAAAGGATCTCACGAAGTTCTGAAGCCAGTGGCACCATACCCAGTTATAAAACATATGGGGTAAGGGCTGGGCACTCGAGAATGTGATCCGGAGTAAGTTGGACCTCGGTGCAGTTCTTGCAGGGAATATAAGTTCTTATTTCGTTGGGAAGAATTTTCATCCCTTTAAAGTGGTTTGTTCTTAGTCTAGTAATTGTTGATGTTAAGATTCGGGAACAATCAAAGTCAGTAATGAGGGGTTTCCTGACGGAATGGGGCAGAAGTCTGTGTCTTGCAACAGCATTTGCGTCTGCAAGCGTGATGGTAGTGCAAGGTTGGTCGGCACCTCTGCCTTCCTTAGCCAAGGAGTCCGCACACTCGTTACCCTCAATATTCACGTGCGCCGGTATACATTGTAGCAAGCAGGATTTCAAATTGCCGAGCAAGCCTTCAAGTATGACATTTAAAGCAGAGGTAACGTTGGTTTCACCGTTGTTGATTGCCTCCAAGGCCGCTTTTGAGTCGGAAAAAATTACCAATCCCTCAGTTGTGTCTGAAATCTCCTGATTGGTCATATAAAATGTGAGTGCCTCCTTAATCGCAAGAAGTTCACTGGTAAAGTTTGAAGCAATTAAGCCTGCAGCAATTGATAACATCTATAATTGTTTACATATAATTACTGTGCTATGTCATCAATTGTTTATTATCGCAATTAAAAGTAATTACGATTACAAGCAACCATGATCTGTGATTACATGTAGTGATGATTAAATGTCAGAGATGCCAACTGCTCCGGGCACACCAAAATAATTATAAAAATAAATAACTACTATGTAAATTTTACAAATATTCAACTATTTTTGCTTACTTTTTAAAAGGTATAGCATGCCATAAATACTATAAAGTGGTGAACTATATAAGCCTACGAATTATTTAGAAATAGTGGTGAATAAAAACTTAATAATTTGAATTTATTAAACCAAGAATCGCAATTGATAAACTACCACTTTAAAATACATATTTGCTGTCCGGAGCAAGTTGGCATCTCTGAAATGTAGCCAGAATAAGTAATCATGGTCACATGGGATCATAATTGAAGATTCCATGTCATCATAACTACAATTAATCAAAAAGTGTGGTAACAAGTAATCATGATTGCAAGTTATCGCGATAACATGCAAGCTATCGAAATATGCGATAACAAATAATTACGAGTCTCTGTCATAAATTTACAAATAATTGTGAATACAAGTAAACTATGCGATTACAGTACGAATTCTAGTTCAATAGGACATACAATATATAAAGGTACGTATAAACAGACTATGTATTAACTTATGTGCGTACATTCAATGTGTGTAGTACACGCAAAATTTGTTTGCGTACTGTAATACATGATGTAAATACATGATTTGTATTTAAGTACATAAATTTTTCCACCTAGAGGAAAAATAGATGTAAGTTTTTAAATATTAAAAAAGCAGCCTAGGTTTTAAAATATTAAAAACCTAGATGCAAGTTCTTAAATATTAAAAAAGTAGATGACAAATGCCTTTTGTTTTTACAAAACTGTGGCTTTTCTCCATATTGATGCTTTGTGCCATTTTCAGAATAAGCACAGACGGCTTTAGAAGGCTAAAATTGACCTAGCAGGTAACTGTTGCAAGGTAACTGTTGCAACTGGTAACTGTTGCAAACTCACACCAGTTATGGAAATAGCATATTATTCGCAGAATAAAGCATAATTTCATATGACGATGGAGCATTCAAAAAACAGCCTTGATCAGCCTTAAAACAGAAAGTGTTCCAAAAAGCGAAAATTTGATTCCTGAAAAAATTAATATTTAAGATATTTTTTGACGAAAAGCTTTGTAATGTTATTATAAATGATTCCAGAATACTACTCCACTCTCCAATGTACAGAAAAATAAACGGACCACCATAAATAACCTTGGATTAAATAATCGAATCTTCACGTTCTATAACTCAATATTAATGGTTCGAAAGGGGTGACCTCAGATATGCTACTTAATTAGCACAGACGATATTTTAAATTACAAAATCAGACACAAAAACGTACTTTCTTTGAATAAACATACCTTTTTTTCGACGGATTCCTGAATTCCAAGATATAGGGAGTAGCCGTAATCTGTGAAATCTGGTCCCATAAGTTTGATCAGAAGAGCAGTCTAAATTTCGAACATCTTAATGTAACATTTTGCGTATTTCACGAGTAATCTCGAGAACTTTTTAAGCGAATTGAAAAATTTTTGCCCACAATTATAAAATTCGTTTAGCAAAGATAATTCTATGCAAAACATAATTTTTAATAAATATTTATTATTTTTTATTATTTAATTTAATAATGCTCGAAAAAGTTTTGAATTGCAAAGCATACAAATGGAAAGATACAAAATTTGAATCAAATTTTGAAAAAGTCGCGTTTTTTAAAATTCGGAAGTATTCAACAGATTTCACTCCAATGCGTTTAAAAAAATTTCGAGATATGGTGAAATATGCAAAAAGTAAAATTCACATTAAGGGGTCCAAACTTCGGACCGCTCTACTAGAACCATACTTTGGGGATCAAAAATCCGAATCCGTCAAAAGGTATGTTTAAGGCCGGGATAGCCTGGTTGGTAGGGCTCTGGGCCCATGTCCAAGAGTTTGTGGGTTAGATCCCCGTGTAGTAAATGGTGGCTGATGCACGTTAAATCTGTAGAGTCGAAAAGTGCTCCATGCTCCCATAACAAATTAATACCTCTGGGGGTATTGATCCAGGAGTTTCCTTGTTTTCTGGATTGGTTCAAACTTACAATGCTACGGAATTGAACATTAGTAGTCGTAAACCCAAAATTGGGTCGGCTGTTCAACGCCGGATAAAATAAAATAAAGGGTATGTTTAAACAGAAAAAATACGTTTTTGTATCTGATTTCGTTATTTAAAATATCCTCAGCACAAATTAATTAGCGTATTTAAGCTCACCCCTCGAATCATTAAGTCCTAGAACGTTAAGATACCATCATTAGATCAAAAGTTATGCAGAGTAGTTCGATTAATTTTTTGTGCACTACACGTAGAATTTATGCATATATTGGCGTACCTAGCAATTTGTATAGGTATCAGGACCAGAAATTAAGTTATGTTGTTGTTACTCGTCCCACTGGTCCTAAAAAATCCGTCGCCTGAGAACATCGAAAATCTTCTCAACCAACAGCTACTTCCAGGAGGCCGCCTCAAACAATTAAAAAGATGAGAAAGATTTCGTTTGACGATAATCTTAATTTTGCGATAAAATATCGATAAAGGCTGCTTTTATTCCTCATAAACTTGTACTGTCGTGAAGCATTGTAGGAAAAGGTTCGGAATTTCGATAGCAAGTTTTAATCGTAAGAAATTTAAAATCGTTGTAAGAATGCACTGTCGCATTTAGGTGCCTTCAAAAGGAACCCCATTTGCTAATCTTCTCTAAGGTTCAGACGGAAAACTTTTTGGAAATCACTTAGTGAAACACTAAATCACATATTTTTATGCATTTATTCATGAATAAGCAAGTAAAGCAGACACTTTTTTAAAAAGAATAAATATTTTTATTTCATTCATTCATTCAAAAGTAAAAAATGCATTGTAGAAATTTCTCATAGCATATGCATCTTTAAGAACAACGAGATGCAGTATAAAATTTCGCACAATAAAAAGCAGCTATTGTACAAACTCCTAAAGATGTTAACCTGAAAAAAGAAATAATAACATTAGCGCAAAAATGCTTCAACCTTAGTTTTTAAAGTTTCGTTAAAAAGTTAACTCCATTTGATTCATTCTTCGCACATTTCCTAATAAGTCTAACCACATATTAGCAGAGTGAAATAAGCCTAAAATGTATCACACATATTAGAAAATGCTGAAGACATTATCAATTAGCCAGACACATTGCAAAATGCTGGCAGTATTTATTAAGAGCTAGATTTTTTCCGAGAAATTACGACATATCGCTCTTTAGGTGAAACGATGACGTAACTGATAATTACTCTAATTATCAGTTACGTCATTGTTTCACCATATGAGCGATATATAGATACTTCTGATTTGCATTCGAAGCTTCACGTTTATTGCACATTATTATTACTTACATACTTTTTGCTTTGTTATTTTACTAGATGAAATCTATTTAAGTTCGATCAAACACAGTATAATACAGGAAAACCTGTCAAGTTGACCACTATCATCAAGAAATAAATTCATCCCACATTATAAAAGGGAACAAAACTTATTTTAACATGGCCACGATTTTATCTTCTGTGATGGTCATTGAAATTAGTTCAGTGTGTCTAGAAGTGTTATTAAATGCTATTCAATCCCTTTCATAAGTTAATTTTTTTTTTCAGGAAATTTTTTATGCAATCATATTATCTATTAAAATTTCACAGAATTGTGAAAAACATAAAAAGTTAACATAAACCTCTCGTTGTAATGAATAGCTTTGTAAGCATAACTAAATATATTTTAAAATGTTGAAATGATTATAATGTTAAGTTTTTCAATAGCATTGGAATATAGGAAATAGCAGATATCTCACCATATTGGCGCGAAGAATAATTCATCTATTTTAACAGTTATATATTAAAGGTCATGAAAAAACACACTACACTAAAAAAAACAATACCTAAACACTACCACTAACAAAAATGAGAAATTTGTGAAGGAAAAAAAAGGTTTTGACTTCATCATGTGTTAAAAGTTTTCAAGTTCCCGAAACTAACTCTCAGTGCATAAGTTAAGTAGTAGTGCTTGAATGAATCTTTTATCACTTTCTGATGATAGTTTTCTTGGGGTGAATGGGGAACCCCAAGAAATTAGAAGTAAGGTTTACGTTACAAATAGCATAGTTTGGAGGTGAGGACCTATCTTTTTGACATTGACAGGAATAATGCTCTTCACAATTAACACATCTTGTTAAACCATTGCATTTATATTGAACGTATGCTTAACATTTAAAACATCTAATTTCTAAATCTCTCAAGAGGAATTGGGTATTCATTGTAAAAAAAAAGCAAATCCAAAATTGGTTGTTGTACAATCGATCCCATCCGGTAATAGCACAAGAAAAAGCAGGAGAACCTGTTTTCTTTCAAACTGAATGATGCTCATGGTCTTAAACCCAGCTTCAATTAAATTATTAGAAATTTCTTCTAGATCAGTTTCAGCACAGGTTAGAACCTTAAAATGGTTCTTGGAAGTCGCAGATCCTTAAACATGCTTAGTTTCCAAGTTCTTCACTATATCAATTACAGGGGTCAGAATTTCTTTCACATCGGAATTCGGAATACTTGTGATGATAGGTAGGCAGTAGTTTTCAAACATATGTAGAATAATCTTAAAAAATATATTTCATAATAAATACTTGGTATCTATCATTAACAATATATATAGATAGATACAGATACCCAAGTCAAAATTTTTGATGGTTTGCCATTGATGGACCAACATAATCTTGATGGTAACCATCAATAATTCCATCATGAAGCATTATATTTTTGACGGTAACCAACATAAATAACCATCACCCCAATGTAGGAGTTTGGATCGATTTATGATGGTCCAACATAAGAATAGCAACTTGTTTTGATGTTTGTTCATGTTAAATCATCAGAAATTTCCACCACAGTTTCAGAGAAATCAAATGTTGGAATGATCATGCACAACCATCATCACAATGTAGGAATTCGGACTGATTTATGATGGGCCAACATAGAAAAGAAACCAAATTATTTTGATGGTATTTTCCAGCAAATCAACAAGAATTCCCCAAAAACCAATCATGGAAATGTATAATTGGAGCCATCATGGATTGTTGGTCCATGAGAATCAAACTTCAAATGATGGTTAATCATCATAGTATTAAAATAGCATTTTCCATCATGGAATGAAGGGAGTTTGCTTTTACATTAAAAACCATGAAAGCATAATGGAAAATATTGGATGATGGTGACCATCAAATGATGTCGGGTCATCATGAATCGCACTGAAACCATCAAATGTTTTGATGGGATCATGAAGAATTTTGACTTGAGTATATATATTTGTGTGTGTGCGTGTGTGTGTATTTATTTATTTAACTAACCAGTTTAAAATATTAAATTTTAGGTCACAAAAATTACAGTTTTAATTAAAAACAATTAACTTAATTAAGAACTTAATTTCAATGGAAAAATAAGAGGAAATTGGAACTGACCAAATAGCAGTGTTTACTACTGGAGAATGCCTCAGTACATTGTATTTCGAGACATCAAATTCCGGATCCTTAGAAAAATCCTTTAAAATCTCTCTAAAACTGGAAATAAAAGAAATCATGAGTGAATTAACCATAAAATAATAAATGCACAGCTAAAAACAAACAAATTATTCGAAAATGAATTGATTTCATCAAAAAAATCGATATAAATCAGACAGAAAGAATAATAATAAGGAACAATTTTGAATTTTCTATGCTCAGTATGTAGGACAAAATTAGCGGTTGCTAACGGCTGCAGGGTGATAACAAATGGCGATTAAGAAACTAAGTCTCAGTCGCCACCTAACCACTGCTTTTTTCGTCTAAAATGCACTCATATTATTATTCAATAAATATGGAATCATTTTGAATATTTTACAATATTCTGCAAAATTACTTTATTTCGCGCTTCCTTCTTAACTCTTTGACAAGGAATTTTTATTAAACATATTTTTTATACTCTTCTCATTATTTTGTATTAATTTAAGATCAAAATAAGTAAAAAATATTATGTTTAGCATTATAATAAATAATTTATAGTTACACGATAGTTTATAGTTACACGCTGCACGATTTTGTGACCAACGGCATACTTGAGGCAAAGTGGTTAGCATCGCCTCAGATAAACCCCATACCCATCAATCTGGAGCTGGGTGGGCTTCGATTCGCCACTGGGAATCGAACCTCAGTCCTTCAAAATGACAGTTCAGTGAGCAGCGGTGGCTCATAGGATGGAGCGCTGACCTCCCAAGGTGACCCAGGTTCAATCCCAGCATTGGCTGGGATTCAGCACCCAGCTCACACCGACCATAGTGCTGACATAAAAATCCTCAATGGTAGACGCAGTATGGGTTAGAATATCCTTGCTGTCCGGCTAATAGTGGGAGGTTTTTGTGGTTTACCTCTTCATGTAATGCAAATAAGGTATAGTTCCATCAAAAGTCCTCCGCAAAGGTCAGTTTGTCCCAACGCTTGATCCAGGAATTCCCTTGCCTTCTGGATTGGGTTAAAAAATTTCAGGGCTACGGAATTGAACATTGAAAGTCGTAAACTCAGAATTGGGTCGAGTGTTCAGTACCGGTTATAAAATGAATTAAAATGACAGTTCAGTGTCTTAATTACTGAGCCATTGCGGCAATAAATAATTTTTAGATGTGATTATTATTTATGGTATAGTTATTTTCTATGTAGTTCTAAACCTCAGCAAAATACAGATAAATTAAAATGAGCATTAAAGGTACCCACACTTTCGACTGCATTCCTGATTTTAATTATTGCGATCATATTTTGCATATTGCGGTGACTCTCCCACATATTTTAAGTATCTCGAATCCGAGCTCATTGAACAAAGGTGTGTATGTTTTTGTTTCCCAGAGTTTTTATATCTAATTTCGTAACTTGCGACGTAGTTGGCACAAGAAAATCGCGTTTCCAATATTAATTCCTTGTACTATCAAGCAGTGCTTGATTCATCATAAGGACTAAGGCTAAAGCTCCTATTTGTCTGGGGACCCCAGAAATGCTTAAATATTTTTTGTATGTGTGTTTTTTATAAGAATTGTCTTTTAGTATTGTCAGTCAAAGATTGAAATAAATAAAAGCACCAATTTAGTAATATATCCTAATTTACTTATGTTTTAAAAAGTTTAAAGGACTTTTCTAATGAATAACATGAAAATTTAAAAACCAATGAGGCCCCAGCAATTCTGCGCCTAGGCAACACCTCCTAGAAAAACGAAGGCCTCAGCACGGATCAATTTAGCAGTCCGACGTGACGAACATAAACTGTGCAGTCAATGAAAAAGAAGAAAGATGTTACAACGTTTGGGCTACTAAGTTGCGCAGTGGTGGAAAATAAGAAAGATGTCATTACGTCTGAACTACTAAAGGATCAAATTTCTTGCTTATGGTAACCCGTGCTAAGGCCTTCTCTTTTCTAGGAGGTATTGGCCTAGGGCCCCCGAATTTTTAAATCAAGCCATGCCATCAAGGTTGGACATTTGTACGAGACAATCCGATCACTAGATTGAAAAGTTATTAAAGAGTTCCAAATTTTATTTTGCTCTCTGTGCGTCATATCAGAATAATAAAATCTTGCCAAACTTGAACAGTAAAAAAAAACTATGATGGGTCTTCACTTTTTTTTTCTTCCCCAAACAGTCGTACTTACGTGTGATACAATAAGAAGTCGATGTCAAATCGATGACAAAAGAGACTAACTCGCTAAAAAAAGTGATAAAAGTCAATAATAAAAGAAGGATTCACTTGGTGATGTGATGGTGATCACGACTGCGAAACAGGTAATAAAAGACGACAAGGCAAAAAATAGCTCGCCAAATAGAAATGCTTTCCTTGCCAAGAGAATCGACTCTTACATGTACGGTGGTGAATTGAAGCTACGTATAGGTTCCCAATGGCTGAAACAGTTCCAGAAGACAAATTAAAAAAAGGTACTGGATCTCCCAGAGCTTTCCACCATCTTTTTTTCCCCCTTATTCCATTTTCCGTTGTTAGGCAAAACGATTTCTTCTAAGAACTTCCTCTCAACAACACAGCAATTTCGTGTTATTTTATGGACCAGTCTTTGGCACGCCTTCCCTAAGTCAGCATTTTGTTATTGCCGCCGAATCAGGGTTAGTGTGTAAAGTTTTGCTCGAATTTTTCAAGGTCTTTTCTCCAGAGCCCTAGATAAACAAAGGGTCCATTCGACTTTGAAATCGAGGAAAAAGAAAGGGGAAAATAAATTGCTTTTGGCAACTAAAGAACTTTTAGTTTCAGGTAAAAAAAAAGGAGACAATGAGAGATAGAATCATGGAATTATGTCAAACATATTGTAACTATAGGCAAACTTACAAATCCTGTTACGCAGAACTTCTTGGGTGCCCTCAACGAATCGATAACAAAGACGTTAATGAGATATGAATTTAAAAAGATAATAATGATTTTGTGAAACCTATTACAATATTACCATCGATAACTAAAATTATCTGGGCGGAGATGCTGGAATCATTAATGTAGAAATCAACCACAAAATTACTTAGATACTTTTCATTTCAATTCTTATTTTTTATCACAGGAGCATAAGAATCAATTGACTGGGAGTTGCAATCTTTTAAAATTTAATAAGCAATCTTTAAAAAAAACAGGCATCATCAAGAGGAAAGAATTAGCATACAACTCGCATAGAGAGATAAACTTAAGGGTTTAAAATGGAAGTTAACAAAGTATAAGTGCTAAATTGAGTAATGGGTAAAATAAATGAATGTGTGATCAACAGCATCATAATCTGTACAGTGCTAGCCGCATATTAAAATTACGTTCGCTTTGAGAACAATTGATTTTATAAAGTAGCTGATCTTATAAACAGGAATATCTACACTTAAGGAACTTATTTATTTAAACTGCACCAATACTAAGCAGTTTTAATACCGATGAGTAAGCAGTTTTATTATTGATAAAGTACAAAGGCCTGAACCGGAGAAAATTACTCAAAATTGGTAAATTTTGTTTTTTTTTTGAGTTGGTCGCGAGAAATAGCATCATGCCAAGCGATGCCGACTACAGTTAATCTCTATCCTGATGGGATGAACTATTAAAAAAGTATTTTGCTTAATTTAATATCTGTGTAGTAAAAAACAAAATTAATGGGGAAACGGTACTAATTTTTTTAAGAGAGGCATATAATGTCGCCAAACAATTGTTGGCGCTAATTGTGCTCAATTAAGTTTAACAATCACTATCAATTAAAACGAAAAAAATAATAAAATAAAAACTATAAAATAAACTATAACTCAGTACCAAAATGCAAAATTAATGAAATAAAAATATACTGATTCGTTCTAGGAGAAATGTAAAAAACAGCCATACCACTTTTGACGTCTAAATTGGTTCATTAAATTCGGTAATAGGCACTTTTGGTATTATGGTAATAGGGTTATTTGGTAATTTTTAATAAGTGCCGAAGATACAAATATAGGTACAATTATAGTATACTTGGTAGCTATTAAAAACGTATCAATACTTTGCAGTTTTAATATAGATACTGTGGAAAGAAGTATTTACGGAGCTTCGTAAGGGATAAGTACCAGTTAGAATCCATAAATTGGCCTCGAGCGACAGCATCATCCCAAATGATTCTTTATTTTAATGGAATGAACTACTAAAAACGAGCTTTGCTTAATTTTGCCTACAGCGTCTGATAGCACTTGCTATTCTGGACCATCAGTTGTACCAGCCGTAAGAAAAAGGTTAATAACGTAACATCACCGGGAAGGGTGAAAAATAATAATAATAAATAAAATTATTTTAGCTTTATTAATATTGTCTCTATATACTTTTCAGTTTTGTGCATGGTTTTTTAGTGTTGTTCAATATTGATTTATTGATTTTTTCTTCTGCGCGAAGAACAAGGATTTATATAATAGTAGGTGCTGAACAATATGAAAGAAGGGGACTAAAGCTATCCGAATCACATCACGAAAAGAATGTAACCAACAAGTAATAACTTGTAAATTTTGACAAAGTAACGAAAATTTCGATTTGTAACGCATGGTTTTGCAGGAAAGAAATTCTGGTTTTGTAAAACAGTAAAATAAAAATAAAGCAGGAATAATAAAAAAAAATAGTGCGTGGAGTCCCTCCGCGCGGAAGAAGTTAAACTTCGTAACCTGCGACGTTAATTGTAGAAGAATCAGCAGTCGTAGAAGGATCACTAGTTNAGTGTTGCATTTCCCTCACCAATGAAATTCCGGTTTTGTAAAACAGTAAAATAAAAATAAAGCAGGAATTTTTTAAAACAGTAGAATAAATATAAAGCAGGAATAAAAAAAGAACTAAAAAGATAAATCCGAAAGTTCGACAATTGTAGTGTTGCATATCACTCACCAAAGAAATTCAGGTTTTGTAAAACAGTAGAATAAAAGTAAAGTAGGAATAAAAAAAGAACCAAAAAGATAAATCCGAAAGCTCCACAATTGTAGTGTTGCATTTCCCTCACCAAAGAAATTCTGGTTTTGTAAAACAGTAAAATAAAAAATAAAGCAGGAATAAAAAAAGAACCAAAAAGATAAATCCGAAAGTTCGACAATTGTAGTGTTGCATTTCCCTCACCAAAGAAATTATGGTTTTGTAAAACAGTAGAATAAAAATAAAGCAGGAATAAAAAAAGAACCAAAAAGATAAATCCGAAAGTTTGACAATTGTAGTGTTGCATTTCCCTCACCAAAGAAGTTATGGTTTTGTAAAACAGTAGAATAAAAATAAAGCAGGAATAAAAAAAGAACCAAAAAGAAAAATCCGAAAGTTCCACAATTGTAGTGTTGCATTTCCCTCACCAAAGAAATTTCGGTTTTGTAAAACAGTAAAATAAAAATAAAGCAGGAATAAAAAAAGAGCCAAAAAGATAAATCCAAAAGTTCGACAATTTTAGTGCTGCATTTCATTCACCAAAGAAATTATGGTTTTGTAAAACAGTAGAATAAAAATAAAGCAAAATCCGATAAAATCGACAACTGTAGAGTTGAATTTAACAGAACAAAAAATTATGGTTCAGAAAAACAGTGAAATAAAAATAAAACAGTAATAATAATAAAAAAAAAGAACCAAAGGAAAGTTCCGAAAAGTTCGACAGTTGGATACTTGCAACTGGAGAAGAAAACGATCACTGATACCAAAAACGTGACCTATGAACACAGTACCAGCTGATTGTTATTAAACAATACAGAGTCGAGCTAAGATTCTCCACATAAATTAGAATGTTAATTAACGTGAAGTTAATTAAATACAACGCTGTATCGCACATTAAATTTGTTAAAATATAATTCTTTCTCATCTACATCTATTACTGAACTTAGATTTAGTATTTGTTTATCCATTTTATTGTAATCGTGATATATTTTTGTTAACTGTAAAATTAAAATAAAGCAGTAATAGAAAAAGAACCAAAAGAATAAATCCGAAAATTACAATAAATTTAGAGTTGCATTTCCCTCAGCGAAGATACTATGGTTTTATAAAACAGTAAAATAAAAATGAATCACTAGCAGAACAAGAACCTTAAGAACATGTTTGACAAGTTCGATATTCGTTGTGCTGCTTTTCCCACAAAAGAAAAAACAATTGGTTTCGTAAAAGAGTAAAATAAAAACATAGCAGTAACAAAAAAAGAACTAAAAGAATAAATCCGAAAAGTAAGATAATTTTAGTCGACAAGTTCGATATTTGTAGTGATGCTTTTCTAACAAAACAAAAAAACTAGTTTTGTAAAACGGTAAAATAAAAATAAAGCAGCAATAAAAAAAAAGCGCCAAAAGAATGTTTTCGAGAAGTGATAAAAATATTAACATTCATTTACCTATTTTACCAAAAAAAGTTTTGCACAACTCAAAAGATGCCAGTTGGCGAGGGTGGCAAAAGATTTGACAATTCTCATCAAAACCATTACGAAACATAATGTAGAGATGTCATTGGAAGTTAAAAGAATACCTCAAAATTTAATGACTCTAACTGGGGAGAAATGTCTGGAGAAAACAGTCATGGCGGGGATATGGCGTAGTACCTAAAAATAAGGGGAACGAATTCCAAAAACATTTATCTCTTTTCCATTGTACTGCAAAGTGCGAATGTCATATATTTAGACCACCGAATGGAGCATGTGTGTTCTCTGATTGCCGCCAAGGGGTTGTTGCTGGCATAAGAAATATTCACCGCTCAAATGATTTCAGGCATTTAGCACGTCGCTTGTCAGGCGCCATATCTGGGAAAGAAAAAATTCCACTTTCACTCAAAAACGAATATCATTAATTTAAATTTTAGAACAACTGACTACATGAAATTGGAACAATCAAGACCATTTCTTGAAGCTCTTCCTCTGAGGAAAGAAAAAACCCAACNAAAAAAAAAAAAAAAAAAAAAAAAAAAAAAAAAAAAAAAAAAAAAAAAAAAAAAAAAAAAAAAAAAAAAAAAAAAAAAACGCTAAAAATATTATTTTGTTTATAAAATAGAATATAATTACTATAATACACTGGTGTAAGAAATTAAGAGAATTTGCAGACTTGGTCGATTATCTCTAGAACTACTGAGCCTATTTTTATGAAATTTAACAGACAATACAAAACAAATAACCATTCGACAATTGTAATACATGCGTAACACTCGTTGGAGTCGGAAGGTATGAAACAGCGGTTGCAGAATAAACCAAAGGGTTAATAGGGGGTATGGTCCCCTCTTACAGATATACAGGCCTTGCAGCGTGATTCCATACTTGAAATAAGGCAGTTTATCATTTCCTGTGGCAATTGGTCTCACTCGTTCAGCAACACTGTTTTCATGCCCTGGATGGTTCTTGGAGAGGGGTAGCTAGTTTCAATCGCCCTCCCCAGAGCGTCCCAGACATGCTCTATAGGGTTGAGGTCTGGAGATTTGGCTGGCCAATCCATCGTGCGAATATCGTCACTTCTAGAAATTCGCCGACCAGAAGAGCTCTATGTGGCCTCGCGTTTTCGTCCATTAAAATGAACTCGAGGCCAACTGCGTCCCTGAAAAAGCAAACATAGGGCTCCAAGACCTTCTTCTCCTTATACCTCACACCAGCCACAGAGCTTCTTTCAAAGATATGGAGAGGTGTACGGCCATCCAACATGATGCTTGCCCAGACCATCAAACCTGCTCTGTCATAATGTTCTATTTCGCGGTTATTGGAGGGTAGGTTCTCTCGATATGAAAAAAGTTCTTGATATTTTATAAGATTAATTTTTCGCACTGAAAAGTGGCCTAAATTAAAGCACATATTTAAATAGAAATAAATCGCAGAATTTTGGTTTTCCTTGTGCTAGTTTTATTCATAAGTGTCCTAAATCGTTTGACATTTGCTTCAACTTAATGAGTAAAGCTTCTCAAATTTACCAATGAGAAATTGAAACTGCTGAAAAAAAAAATAGATTAGAAGTTGAAAGTGACCAGTGTTTTGCCTTCAACGCCGCTCTGTGTATTGATGAATTCGTGTAGACAATCACAGGCATTCTTTTAAACAAAAGAGTGCCTAATAACACTCTAGTTTGCTATACTAATACTTTTTTTCAGTCAGTTGAAGAATTATTTCTAACACTAAAAGGATTAATTTGTTGGGGGGGAAAACTGTGAAAGTATTGGTAGATTTAAATGCTTTTGTGCTTTATATTTCTAAACTAGTTACGAAATAAAGTTCCAGCAATAGTGAAAAATAGGGCATGTAACAAGATAGGTTGGAAGTTTATTTTTTATTTATTTTACTAATTACAAATACAGTCATGTTAATAAATAAGCACGCGTTTATATTTCGCTGAAAAATTTATATTTTTTTACTTACCTCCGCAAATTTCCAATGGCTAGAATTGCTTCTTTTTTATTTTGGTTCAGCTTGAATTCTATCAGTCCATACTTATCAAACAGTCTGGATAGCTATAAAATATTTTGAAAAATAAATTATAACAGAAAAAGAAGCGGAATGGAAAACAGCGGTCGCTTAAAAACTTTGAAATTTTTAAATGATAGATTAAAATAGTATACGAGCCAGTTTTCTTTTCTTTTTTTATTTCAAGAAACAGGCAAATTAGGCAAGGTTCGGGAGCTTGACATTTTTGATTTTGTCGAAATTTTCATTATATGTTCATGTAAAATTGTTCGACGTTTTTTTCTTGATTACAAAAAGAATTTTTTTGAAAGAAAGGGGTGGTGAAAACTGACAATCCACTGGTGGAATTTCAAGAAAAACAAGTCTATTTACTACTTTACGTGAAATGAGAGAACCACAGCACTGACCATCATTTTATGTTCTACTATTTCTACACTTACTATTCAGAGATAAATACTTTTAGTTTGCATGTGCATCGAAGGTCAAAGGTCATACAAAAATCTTCGAAATAAGGCTATTTTCTTAAATTTTGACAGTCAAAATCTACTTATGCCTACAGTAAATCACAAAAGTGTATATTTCTGTGAATGTGTATTAATGAGTAGTAACCAAAAAAAAACAAAAAAACATTTGTGTGGAGTACATTTAACGTGAGCTTAAATTTTTTTTTTAAATTAGCAAGAAAGTGAGAATTTTCACAACTTTTAAGGTCATTAACTGCCTTCGCTAATCAACTGGAAAATAAATCTTAAGTATAACAGAAATAAAATCAACTGATTACTGATTAAAATTTCAAATAATATGACCCTAAACTTTGAAACCCGCATCTGAGTAATTGAATTCGAAAATTCTCAGGAAAAAGCAGTAAATTGTTTTAAAAATTGCGATAAAGTCTCCAAATTTACAATAGATTACATTGAATAATTTTAAATACATTATATTGATGAATTGAAATACATAATCAAACCTTTTACGTATGTTTATATCACCCTTAAATTTAAATTTCCTCAAGCTGTTTTAGAACATTCAAATTTCCTTTTTTAGTTTGTTTTTTAAATTAATAAAATATTATGTGACATCGTAATGCAAAGTAAATATGCTTGAATAAATTTGTATCAAACGAAAACGATAATTAAAAACAACATTCCAAAGTTATTTCTAAATCTAAAGAGTAATAAATGAAAATGGCGCGAAAGAGACAAGAGCGCCATCTATTCGATGGATGAAGAAACAAAATATCTCGAATAATAATAATTATCGTTTGTAGCAAGCAAAATCACTCGAAAAATTTTATTCATCTGTTTTGCACAATTCAATTGTAGGATAAAAATAGCACAAACTTTTCAAGAACAAAATTTTTCATAATAACGGAGATTTTTAAATGTCTTTCAGAACAGAACGACTAGTCAGTTTTTAAAAATTTAAATCTTCCTTAAAATGCTCAAATTTTACTTAAAATGTTTTATGGCGAAAGATTCAATTAGAAATTTTTTTTATCTGATAAAACACGAAACAATGATAATATTAAAACATTTAAATTATTATTATTATTTTAGTTATTCAACGATATTTTCAATAAAAATATTGAAGAAATATTTGATATGTATGCAGGCGAAGAAAAAAGTTAGGTCCTTTTCTATAAAAGGATTGAATAAGATTCTTTTAACCCTTAGCAGTCTTATTAAGTTTATACATGGGTGTCATGCTGGTCGGAATTAATTTTCGTTGAACGAACATAATATGCAAGATTATGATGCAAAAATAAAATTTCTTAATTCCTTTTTAAACTTTAGATATATGTAAAAATAATATTTTATAGTTCTCCATCGTGTGGTATCTTTCAATCTATTCTCCAGTATGAAGCCTTGATTTTCGAGAAAATGTGTCACAAAAATAATTAGTTTGGCGTTTTTCGCCTTTAATTTTCACAGTGCCGCAATATATGTAGTTTGCCATTAAGCTGTGGCTAACATCTTTGCTGAGGTGGCTGAGAGCAGACATACGACAATAACAACAAAAAATAATAGAAAAATCAGATAAAAAAATGAGAAAGAAGCAAAGGTAATTTTATTTTTACGGCTGTAAAAATTAATCTTTACCTATCACAAAAGAAAAATCGCATCGGGAAAAATATAATTGAATCACTGAGTTCGGAAACTTCGGTAATCTTCAATAAGACTCATTTTACAGGAAAGACAACAACAAAAAAAGTGAATAATTAAATATCAGTTTGATAAATAGAGTTTATTTTTTAATATCAAAATATGTCTGGTTACAAAATATTCTTTCGCGATTGCGCGATAACATCACTTAATTTTTTAATTTAAAAAATAATAAGAACTTGGTGATGATCAGCATTCGGAAAAAAAAAACTTAAAACGAACACTATAAATTATTTTTAACAAGCGTAATAATTAATAATTTGTCATTTAGAAATGAAATAAAGATTGAATTTAAATCTTAGACTACTGATTAAAAGATATAAGTGTAGGATCAGATATCTTTTCAATTGTGCTGGGCCATTTACAAATGTCTTCATAAATAGACAAAAACTCATTTTGTTTATATAGTAAAAACTTTTTTGATGTCTGAAATTTGTGGTTCATATTAACTTTTCCGAAATATGCTTCTTAACTGGTTATGGTGCCACTTTTAGGGTACTTTTCTCCTACAGAGTAAATAATTTTTTACTCTGCATTTTCATAAACCACCAAAGTAAATACTTTAACTTCAACAGGTGCAGTGTTTACATAAGTAAAGTGCTACAGTGTGATACCTGAAACTGTTGTTTCCCCTTTCTTGCTTTTCCATAGTAGCATTTTGATAACATTTTTTTCTCATTATCTCAAGTCATATTATTTGCAGTTACCTCCTTTACAAATTCACAATTACTTTTCACCCTTTTGTTTTGCCATTATCGAAAAATAATCAAAACATAGCTAAAGCCGTGATGGCTCAGGGGATAGAACGTTCGCCTTCCAATGAGGTGAACCGGGTTCGAATCCCTGCGATGGCTGGTCGATACGAATTCCGCACCCGGCTTGCACCGACTACAGTGCTGACGTAAAATATCCTCACTGGTAGATGGATCATGGGTTACAGTCCCCTTGTCGTCAGACGAACCGTGGGAGTATCGTGGTTTTCCGCTCCATGTAACGCAAACGCGGGTTAGCTCCTTCAAAAAGTCCTCCACGAAGGCAAATTTCTCCCAATACTTTATACAGGAGTTCCCTTGTCTTCTGGATTGGGTTGAAAATTACAAATCAACGGAGTTGAACATTAGCAGTCGTAAACCCAAAAATTGGGTCGGCTGTTCAACAATGGTTATAAAATAAAATTTAAAAAAAATTTAGCTAGATTATTGGTATGGGGAAAAGGGAAAAAAAAATTTAATCGAAATGTTATAATAAATTAAGATAATTACGACAATAAAGATAATTAGTTGCAAAGTTGAAAATAAAGAAAAGAAAAAAAAATCTTCTTAATTCTTAAAAAGATACTTTAATGTTAAAAATAATATTTTCCGGAAAAAAAATTATCCATACAACGTTAAAAGGTTAATGCTTATCAGAAAGGCTTTTAAAAATCAAAAAGTCTTTAAATGCATCTCTGTCATAAAAACGCCAATAAAAAGGTTATACACAAGAGCAAAACAGAAAAATATAAATCAATCTTGATTTTAAAAAAGAAAAATTTAAAACTAAAACTAAACAGTTTTTCCAATTACCATATTTTGAAGAAAAAGTGAAGATTAAAGTCTAATAGAAGCACTCTTAATTACCACTTCATAATAAAAACGTCTATTTGAAAAAGGAAAAGCTACGTAGAAGCCAAAACAAATATCGTTCTTAATTTTTAAATGAAAGATAAAAATTTTAACTTAACTTTTTCACATTGCCGTATATTTAGATAAAAAGTGACCATTAAAGAAAAACGACATTATAAAAACGCTGAAAAAAAGTTCAATTAATAACATAAAAAATCAAACGAGAATGAAAGAAAATAAAAAGGTATCCAATGAGATGGAAGGGATCTGGGGGTTAAGGAGCAGTGGGCGGAGCTTTCTGGTTTTTAAATATTTTAATTTAATATTTGTCAGAACGTTGGTTTTGGACTTTCAACACGTTTTTCAAGTTATCTTTACACCCTAAAATAGAAAAGTGTGTAGAGATTTTTGGTTATAGGTTTATAATGAAAGTCCTGTGCTTTACGGTTTTTTGTTTTACATGTTATATAAATGAAACAATTATCTTTCATAGAACATAGAAAAGGCATTTTTAAACGCATTTATAAAAAAACAGAAACAAAAATTGTTCTTTCTTTTCTGTTTAGATGGTTTCTGTTTGTTTATGGTGGGAAAGTTATTCTATTAGCAGCGATCTTGAAACAATGGAAGCTTGAATGGAGAATGGAATAGTAATTACGTATTGAGCTCCAGCAGAAAATTGAGCACTCGAACTATTAACAATAAGAATTCATTTTTGCAAAAGTATATTAAGACACCACCTTAGAACAAATAACAAAATATCTGAACGTACAGCCGTTCAATGCTTACGTTTGGAACTTTTCAACAGAGCTCTTCTTCTAATCATAAAGCAAAGACGATCCAACGGTGGTTGGAAAAAAAAAATGCCGGACTTTATTTATATTTTTCCAATGAAAAGGCCAGAACAAATTTAAAAAGAAATAATAAAAAAAACAATAATAAAAATATTATAACGTTAGTTGGAAAGTCGACCCAAATTTGAGTTTATGGCTTCCAATGTTCAACTCCGAAGTCTTGTAAATTTGAATCCAATCCAGAAGATAAGGGAACTCCTGGATCAAGTGCTAGGAGAAATTTTGCCTTCGTGGACTTTTTAATGGAACTAACCGCATTTGCGTTAAGTGGAAAGGAAACCCAAGAAAATGTCACACGGTTACCACAGAAGATATTTTACGTCAGCACTGTGGTCAGCGCGAGCCGGATGCGGAATTTGTATCGACCAGCCATCGCTGGGTTTTGAACCTGGTTCACCTCATGGGTGGGCGAACGCTCTATCTCCTG